CATTTTGTTATTCAAAGATTGTAATGAAATACAAGGCAGTTTAGTGCAGGCAACAATGGCTCATTTTCAGGACTTTGGTAAAGTTTGCAGTAATGATCTATGGTTGTTGTTTCAGAGCAGCTGTGGTGTTCATGGTCAACGTAACGGGGTAACAGTTATAAATGACCAATTTTAAACTGGTGATTTACTCACTGAATTCTATGGATACACTAGCTTTATACAGTGTAGGGGTTATAATTTTGTTAAATTCAGCTGTCTGAATGCACGATGAGCAGTGAATCTCAGAGCAGTACCAGCATAGCCTGTACAGAAAGAAAAGTCTACGGGATTACACAAGAGAAATTATTATAACTTATGTCTAATTAATTCTTTTCCACACACTACACTGCTACACCCGATCGTAGGGTCCTCCACATGCTAAACCTCACTTCAAGGTTCAGGTAGTTTTGCACATTTTTATTCTCTGAACACATTTCAGAGCCTCTACTTTTTCACTTTTACTTTAGAGTAAAGAAGTTGAATCAGTACTACCAGATTATTTTTCACACAAATATCTGTACTTCTACCTGTACTTAAGTGACAAATGTTTTTATTTTTGCTATTCCTAGACTTCATTAACCAATAAGTGATGGCTCTGTGGATATGTCCATGTTTTTTGATACAGTCTATGGAGCTGCAGCTACCATGGGAATGTTTGATATCTCCATTAATCTGAACAGTCAAAGCCCTTGTGTCACTTTATGAGGTAAACATGGCTGCAGATGGAAGAAAGGTGAAGCTTATAAAGTCCTTACTCTTCAGTGACGGAGCTAGATGACAAGAATTGTGTGAGATAGTGGGTTTCTGCGAAAGTTTCTGCTAAGCTGCTCTTTGTTAGTACAAATTCTGTCCATGTCAGCCTTTACTGCTTTCAGGGCACCATGGATAGTACAGTGGGAGAATACTATGAGAATTCACTACCTTCTCCAAATTCCTAAACAAACAGGAAAAACAATTTGTTCTGGTGGTACATTTCCAGTGTCTTAAACTGCTCACTTGCACAGAATTTGCTATATTAAAAAAAAAGTCATCTCAAGCCTTCTGAAAACCAAAGCCATCCCCGGTTTCTATATGGGTGATTTAAGATCGTATGGGCCAGCAGCTGTGCAATCTTTAAAATCTTTCAATTTCAAAAGGAGCACCGGAAATCAGGTTTTGCTCTGCTTCTCTCATATATGCCCAGAGACAAACTGGCTAAATGTGTTATGTCCCTGTGGGAATGTGGAGGTGGGAAGATGCACTGATGACTGAGCTGATAAAGTAATGAGACATGACAAAGGGGGTTTAACAAGAAACAGGTGGCATATTGAGGTTGGTGACAATTAAGAGATTAATTGACCAACTGTGATTATTTTATTAACAGAAGATGACATTGGGGAACATTGCAGTAGACTGGGAGGATATGGAAATGAGAAAGGTAACTGCCCAATTAAAGAAAGGAGCAAAATCAAACCCAAAATATATATCAAATGACAAATCACAGCCAAAACATTGTTGTTGTTATTTTTTATTTCTGTGAAATAATAAAATATATTGACGTGATAGTACATGACTGAATTGCTAACTTAAACATGCATGACCAATATTTTGCATTTGCTTTGACTCCAACAGTTCTTGAGGGGGGAACATCTGTCTCTTTGCCAGGTTAAATGTTTACTATGCACACAAACTGCTGTCTTTCTTTCCTGTTGGTGAGAAAAGCTGCCCACTGTGTCTGGAAACAGAACCGATGAGATTGGTTAGTAGCAAGCATGTCGTCTCATTTTATGGAGGTGAGGCCATCAGTCTTTGTAAAACTGAGGAAAGCCATATCCACCAGCAAATCAGTTTTTGTCTGTCGACTGTGGAAAGTTATGGAACAGTTAGCCAACATGCATGCTACCAGGATCCTGAAACTGGAGTACTCAAAATTTAATTTGCTGTCTTTGTTTACATCTGTGCTGGATTTTAAATACAATGTTCAGAATCTGGTCGTTTCCAAGTACTGTGAACTCCTTTTAAAACACATTTTATTGCATTCCCAGAAACAACAGGTAACCCATTACTGAACAAGTTATGACAAGCCAACTGCATTTTTCAGCCTTCAGCATTTGCAATCATGGTAAATGTGGTTTGTAGTGGTAGGTGTGTGGGTTTTTTATAAAGAAATAAGTTAACTTTAAACTAATCCGCCATTTTTGTTTTGTGGAATCAGAAGTCGCCCTTTTACAAACTGCTAGATGTTGTTTGAGAATGACTGTAGACTGTCGCTAATGGAATAAAAAAAAAAATAGCAAAACTGCATTGTATGAAATTGATTCTTCTTTTGATTATAGACACAGTGACAAAAAAAATCTGCATTTTTAATAAAACAAACAGACGATTTTAATGGTTTCTCCTGGCAATTACTCAGAGAAACTACTTTATAACTTCGTAACATAAGAAGATCATATTAACTAAACTGATGTATTATTTAAATTGAAGAATAATGTTAATATGCACACACTAACACTCTTGTGCAGCAAATTAGAGATAATTATAGTCTCTTGCTTTTTTAGGAGTATGTTTTCTTCAGTTACACAGACACTGAGTTTCTGTCTTGCAAAGTGTCAAATAACACAGAATTACTGCATCAGAATATCATCAGTGTGCTATTGTGAGGTAATGTGTGATTCCCACCTCTAGTGGATACTGACAATAATCCAGCAAATACATTTTTCCCTCAATTACATTAATTTACTAAAGTACATAACCCGAGCTCATCCGCTTTTCATGTTGAAGTGTTCTTAGGCAGTGAACACTAAAAAATGTCTCCAATGTGTGTCAAGCTGAATGACACTGTATGCATGCTATAAAACAGGGCTTTCTGGAAGGATGACAGTGGCTTGTAGCGTAGGTGCTTTGAATATATGCTATAACTAGAGGAGCATTAAACCACAGGCAATCCATTTACCATTTAGTTAGTTATTAGTTCCCAAATCAAGGCCTGATAAGGCGTGAAAGCAACTTAATTTTATGCCAAATTTTACACAATTTAACACCACAATTTCTCATCCGTGGGATAATAAAGGTTTATTCTATTCTATTCTATAAGCTCCCTAGAGTGAGTGCAAACTTCCTTACCAAAAGTTTACATATTATTTCCTCTTTGACCTCTAACCCCTCTCAGTTACTGTTTAGATTCTGTGGAGGTGTGGGGAAACAAAAGAGCTTGCTTCTTTGTTTATCTTTATTTCACTATAAAACAACTTGTATATTTAATTGCTACTTAAACATGTAAAGGCATTAAGTGCTTTTGGCTTGAGAAGTGGGTAAATGCTGTCTGAAAACCTCTGACCTAATTGTCTATAAAAATGGCTCCACCACAAAAGCCTGCTTTGGTACTGCTTTTGTTCATGCATCGCTATTCACAGTCTAAAAATGTAGCCTATACCACCAGCCACAGGAACTAAGCAAAAGAGTGAGAGACCCCACTACTATGGACATAAATATACATTTTTATGCCTAGTTCCCTTAAAGTGTAACCCTTTCCCAGGCAGGGTAGTCATGTCCCTTTGTTTTCTTCTTGTAAAAACAGTTTTCTGGATCACTCTTAGTCTGCCCCCTCACCCTAGACTACTCTGTCTTAGAAGACCCTCCCAAATTGCTCCTGACAATAAAGGAAACAGTTGATGTGGTTCCGGCATTTGACCAAGATGCTGAAACCATATGGGAACTGCTAGGATGTCTCCTGGGTGAGGTGTTTTGGGCATGTCCTACCAGGAGAAGGCTCCATGGCAGACCCATATCTCTCAGCTGGCTTGAGAACCCTACTATGTCCCTCCAGTATGAACTCAGGAAGGTGGCCAGAGAGAGGGAGGTGTGGGCTTCTCTGCATAAACTCGTTCTACCCTGACCCAAACCCAGATGGATGTATTATTATCGTGTACTTGTGTGGAAGGACTGCATTGAATAATCGGCCCAACAACATGAAAATATGCTCCAAACTGACTTTTGTGTGAGACATTTAGTGACAATACATTTTGTTTAGGTGAAAATTAAATGTACTCATTATTTTCATGTTACTTTTACTCCAACTGTAACACTTTAACTATGTTGGGAAGCATTCGTGTAACAAAGTGTTTTGCAGGTTACCTCTGTGGTGGCCATCTTGTTTTCCCAGTAAAGAGGAGGCCTGCCTCAATTGCAGCTCTTTTATAGGCCAGTCTGTATTGAGAAGGCGTGGTCTTTAGAGTATTTAAAGGGAGCAGGAAATGGATTGGGGGCCTTTTTGGGAAGTTGCTGTCTGTATGTGCATGATGTTGGCAAGACATAATAAAACAATTACTTCAGTTAAGATAGAGTGAAGTCTGATGTTTCTCTCACCGCTCCTCTCTGCGTAACAAACTAATGGAATATTTGTAAGAAGTCTTTTCAGAGACACAAAGAGTTTTTGGAAAGAGTCCACCTCTGTGTGGACACTAACTGTGTTACTGTTATAAAGAATAAAAGTGTTCAGATTGTAAGACTCAAACATAAATCGCCTAGATTTGGATTAGAACAAATTAAAAGTGATAGCATTAGTCATGTTGCTTTTCATTCTTACTCTGGTGAGGGATCAGAATTAATAAAAAAATATATATAGTGTTCAGAAATTAAGGATGTCAACATCTGAATAGTGGCTGAAAATTCAAACCTCTAGGTTACTAATGATATGCTCAAGACTCTCGACTTACAGTACAACTACCAGGCATATTCAGAATAACACGGAAAGCTTCTGCAACCATAAGAATTATCTATCTATCTATCTATCTATCTGTATGTATGTATATATATATATATATATATATATATATATATCCCCTTTATGCCAATTGCCCTTGCAGTGTGCGCTTCACCCATCAGAGGGCGCATCTTAACGCTTAGTTTAAAAATACTCCCTGAAACCCAAATTCTTTTAAGAGTGGAGCTGCTAAAGCAAACTACCCGACTTTTAACTTTACGTGTCTTAATCAGCACATAGGGGCAAGTTCAAACTCCTGGGCCAATACCGAGCCTGAAGCCTGGTCTCCTTTCCGATTTGAACAGCTACGATCGGCAGCTGGGATCTCTAAACATCTCTGTCCGAGAGGGAAACACGGAGAGGGAGACGTGAGAGCAAGGACGTGAGCGGAAGGGAGGCAAAAATCAGAGAAAACCTAAGCTGGACACACTGATAACGCTGTTTTTGGGCGTGCGTAAAGGCGCGAGGCGAAGTTGCATTTACAGGATACATGTAAACACAGATGCCCCCCTTTTTTGTTTCCCAGACTGGACATGTTTCCGCTGCTGGAGAGCGACGTTTAGACAGTTGTGAAAAGAGATTGAACCAAGGGTTGTAGAGAGTCTGGTCTGTTATCCCTTTCTCTTTATCTTTCGCTTTTGGGACTGAGTGGAAGTCCTTGTTTTTGACGCTTAGAGTACTGAGGAAACGATAAATGCAAATGCGAATGGTGACTCCGTGCTTTTATTCATCGTCTACAGAGACTTGAAAAGCCGCTTTCCCCACATTGCACAGCAGCCCGTGGTGTTTGGTTCACTGAAATGTGAAACACTAGTGAAGTCGATACATGACAAACTGCTGTATCCAGCTGGTTTGTTTGTCTCTGTTGTAAACATTTTACGCTCTTTGGATTATATGTGTTGAGTAGGAAACTTTTTAAGAATGAAGAGGAGAAAATTCACGTAGCTCGTCTCCGTTTTCTGCTTACATCGTCGCTGTGTGCCGAAGTGGATCCCTGTTATTATTTTAGTCATTTCCGAGCCTTCACGTTGAGGAGACAGGGGAGCTGACATGCGCCTGGACATGGGGATATAGTGCGCTGCCCTACTGCGAATAATACAAAGTTGCGAAATTGCCTGATTTGCGTACATAGTGAATAATCAAGATACCCGGAGCCGGTGGGAAATCAACCATAGTGCCTGCTCGTGCGCCGTGAAACAACGCTTTTCTGCTCGCACTGAGCCAGTTCGAGAACCAGGTTATTTTGCGAGGAGAGACTTCGGAGCAAGATATGGAGGAGTGGAGACAATGCGGACGGTGGTTGATAGACTGCAAGGTCCTGCCCCCGAACCACCGGGTTGTGTGGCCCTCGTCGGCCGTCTTCGACTTGGCACAGGCCCTGCGTGATGGGGTGTTGTTGTGCCAGATGTTGCACAATCTCTCCCCGGGATCAGTGGACCTGAAGGAGATCAATTTCAGACCCCAGATGTCACAGGTGAGTCCGCCTCGGTATACATTTTAAACGACCAAGTGGTGGCTTTGATTTACACGCCCCCCGGGCAAACTTTTATATGCACTACGCTGCTACACATCCACACCCTGGGATTCCCTGGGCAGCCACTTCCCACTGAGATGTTCCACGATTTGCCTTAATTGTTTGGAAAGCTTTTTTTTGTACAACATTTCTCTGCCTGGATTTCCCCAGCTGATCCAGAGATTCCTTCCTGTCACAACAAGCCCATTCCTTGGCACAGTAAAAAAAATTCTATCAGTGTATCTGTGATAATACAGCAGTTAAACACATACTGTGGTGGGCTCTGTGTGTTAAAACATGCAAGCTTCATTTAGTTTTTCCCAGATGGAGAAAATAATGCAATTATGCCCACTAACACCTTATTCTGGAAGTGTCACACCGGCATCCATGTGGTGATATAGGCCTCAAGGTTGATGATGAGTTGTTCTGCTGGTGGCTCCAGGAGCACTTAAAAACCAATTCCGTTCATTTCTTCCCCCCCCCCAAAAAAGGTTAAACATTTATCTACCCAGTATTTTATTTCTGCTCATGCAAGTATCAGCCCCCCCCCAATGAAATTGACATGCAGTTGGCAGCTAGAGCATCTTCACATTCACTTGCTAATTGGGTGTTATCTAGACAGTCTAACTCTGTGCGGAAGTGAGCAAAGATAATAAGCTTCTTAGGGAAGAGAAAATCGAGGACACTAAATAAAGTAAAAGCTATGGAACCTTAGAGTGATGCTCTTCCATGGTTGATGATTTAGTATACACCATTTATCTGGTGGTAGCAGTTTTAAAAGGATGCTGCACTATTTGCTTTTAAATTTTTACCTGTCTCAAGTTGAAGGGAAATGGCAAACTGGAAGAGACTCAAAGAGAAGTATCCCTGTGTGTATGTAATTAAACTCAAACGAAACCCAAGACTTCATGGCAATGAGATTAGAGGTTTGAACTGTAGCTATTGCATGCCTCTGCTTCTGTAAAGCTCCCTCTGCACTTCAGCTCATTCATGTTTCCAAAGCCAATAAGAGGAAGTGTCGGGTGCCACAGGAAGTTTACATGACCACAGTGGTGGAGTAGAAGTGCTCTGTGGCAAACATGTCTATTGACTTTTATTCACCCTGATGTCTGCACTGAAATACCACACAGCCTCCGCTGCACATGGTGAAGAAGTCTTGGCACTGGCACTGTGACATATTTCGATTATTCTTATTGTCATACCTGCGGGCTTTAATAGCTGTTTTAGGAAGCGATTCCTCACTGACAGCAAATTTGTCTGATATGCTTGGCACACCTTCTGTGACCTCTTTCTGTCATAATAATGTGTGAATGTGTGTGTGGGTCTACTGTCTGTCTGTCTGCTTTTTTTTGTTCTGTCTGTGTTGGGTGCTGTTTTCTAGTAAACACTCCTTTCTTTGTCCTTGATTAATCAGGAAAAGATAATTTGGTTAGCCAGATCAACAAGGAATTCCTTTGCAAGTGTGGCAGATATTTTTCAAACGGAGCAAAAATGCCACTTTTGTCTCTGTTTCCCGCTTATCAAATGGGATCATTTGCAACTGTTGAACAAAACAAGAATATCATGTAAGATTCTGCGCCTTGTGGTGGACATTTTAAGCTATTTATCTTCGATTTAAGACAATAAACACTTAACGGAAGAAAGAATTACATATTAATCAATGAAAGTAAATGCTAGTGGCATCGCTATCCATCCCCCTCTCTTTGCCTGGTAACCAACAGCGGCCTTAACTTATCACCTCCAGAAGCTACTGGGTTCAGTGATTACAAGGGCGAGAGAGAGAGAGACTTGGATGGCATGCTTTGATCCGCCCACTAATCCCGAGCTCCCAGTACCACTGAGTGAATCTGCAGCGAGGGTGAAAGTGGTGTCCTCGGTGACAAATTGGGTTAAACAAAATCCTGGCAGCAGAACAGTAGTATGTGATTTATGATAAGGAAAAGGTCAAAGCTCACGTGCTTTAAATCCGAGAACACACAGTTAGTGGCTTAACCAAATGAAGAGGAGATGAAGCAGAGCAATTATATTGTTTGCTCAGTACAAAATTTCTCTTGTATTCAGTGGATAAACTTTAGCGGTGATTGATAGGTTTGAAATTGAGTTTTGTCTGTGAATATAACTAGTTTCTAACATTTAGTTAAGACGTTCTCAACACATGGTAGTAGGTGTAGAGTCGATGCATCGTAATGGTGGTTTATGGCGAAAGAAGAACATAAAGACACAAAGTATGTGTTTCTCCTTTTTCTATTGACTGATTACTTCTACTGCTAACAGAGCCTAATCACAATAATGCTTTTCAAGTTTGGCATTGATCCCAGTTTGTGGTCTTGGTGCTTTTGTGCATTCTGCAGACATCAAAGAGAATTCCTGGTAGAAACACGATGGTCATCATTTTTTCACAAAACACGGCATGTCGACAGTTAATGAATTTGCAATTGAAATTCCACTCAGTGTCCTTTTCTACCTTGTATGTTATGACTTGATGATGCTTTCATGGTCTTAAGATGAACATTTTGAAGTTTCCTGAACGTGTGTTTCATTTGACCCACTTGTACAGTGCTCTGCAAAAGTCTTGAGCCACCCCTCATTTCTTACATATTTTGCTAGTAAAATGGGAAACAGGTGCAGTGATGTGTTGAAACATGTGAAGTATATAAGGCAAAAACAGAGACCTGTTGCCACTGATTTTCTTTATTATTATTCCAGTAAAGAAATTGGCTTACTTCAGCCTTTTTTATCCTGCTTCCCTTTTTAAAGATTAGTTTCTTGACACCCGTTCTTCCGTTGAAACCGTTTCTGATGATGAACACTGGATCAATCGAAGGGGCAGATATATTTCTCAGGTCCTGTGTCTTTGATGGATTTTGTTTTCTTAAGGCGGTAACTTTCAGACTTTATCTGCTGCAGATACTTGATCTTTTATCCTCTTCATCTTTTGCCTAGGTTCCTCAATTTTTTTTAAGGCCACATTGCACGCTAAGATGTGCCAGGTTTTCAGCGAATAGCTCTTGGGGAGCCACCTTATTGGTGCAAAAATGACATCAAACCTATTATCTTTGGCATTTTTCATAAATTCAACTAAAGAAGTGGGAACAAATTATGTGTTTTTGCAACAGGTTGCTAATATCAAAGACCAAAGACAAAATTTGAAATTGTTTTTTTTTGTTTTTTTGTTTTTTGCTAGCTTGTAGGCACAACACTGTTTCACCCCTTGTGTTAGGTACCTCTTTATGTTTATTTTATTCATTCATTATTCAGTGACTGAGTGGCTTAACAAACAAAAACACATTCCTATGAAAATGGTTAGGTACAAGGGCTGGACTGAAATAGAATGAAAAAGCAGCCAATGTTCAAAGATAAACTTTAAAAGACCTTCAGAAATCCTGGAGCGCTGTTGCTCACGACAACTATAAAGTTACAAGAAAGTCTGAGTCCTTGGAAGCAAAATTTAAGGAAAGACGGGATGGCTCAAGAGTTTTTCACAGTAAGACACATGGGATGCCAGCTCATGGCTGTGTGTCAGACAGTATTCACTGGTTTCTAGATTGCGCTTCTGCAAATTCCATCTTTTGCTCTTGACAGAGCGGTGTATGTAAGCCCGGACCCTTTGAGCATGCTGAAATGGCAGCTTTCATCTTCAACTCACAGATCTACAAATTCTGTATAATTCTTAATTATATATTCTGGTAATAGGCAACAGGATTAGCTTTACAACATAAACATTATAAATAAATTAAAAAAAAACCCTCTCAGTAATAAAATCACTTGCTATATTGCTGTATATTTTTGAGGGTGCTCACAATAAGCTGGCAAAAACTTGACAAGCCCTCTTTTCTCCCAGCCTACTGTTTTCTTAAAACAAAAATGGTGCACTTGTGCTAACTTAATCGATAACATACAGGACCAAATACACACTCGGAAACTAATTTGTCACTGTCCATTTAGATTCCTAGTGTATGTGGTTAAACATCATGGCACTAACCTCATTAATATCTCTGTTATCAGATTTGCAATTATAGAGTTACATACCAAAAGAGAGCATGGCCAAGGGGGATTAAACATTGTTTGATTTTGTCTTTCTTCCCCTTTGTGGACAGGAGAGGAGGTGGAGTAGTTCTTGAAAGGAAGCTGTGAAACTGACCTTCATTTATGTGGTCAAATGAATTCCTAATTGTGTTTTTCAGCATTTGTTTGCCTTTACCTCAAGGTTGTAAATGGGTGGCTAATGAGCACTGGTGTCTGTAGATGCTTCAGAGCTCAAAGTGTACTTATTCAGAATCCAGTGCCTCAGGCGGTGTCTGAAAGATGAGACTGAGCCTTTTGAGTGTTCTGCAGTTCTCTCTTCACTTCTTATTTTCTTTTGTTTTTTGTTAGTTGTGA